AACTACAAGACAACAAAAGAAACATCGATATAAGTTATTTGCTTAAAAAGTTACAATAAAAATTCATCAATGCTATAAAATAAATTTTCTTGCAGAAAGCGTTTTATGGAGTTTCGAAATTTGAAGTGTGTAGGCTGAGTTTTAATGCCAGTGGATAATTTATTGTAAATTCTCACACCTGTTGAAAGTGGTCCATTTGATGTTATTTGGAGATTGCTATGATTTGGATAGATTAGCTGATTATTTCTGGTTTGGTAGACATGTATGTCCGAATGCCTGGGAAGAGTGTTTTTTATTTTATGGATGTAGCAGGCAACCTCCATAATATAAAGACAGGCCAGAGGAAGAATATTCAATTCGGCAAACAATGGTTTACAGGAATTTCTGGGTGAAACATTTTTTACAGTTCTTACTGCTTTTTTCTGAATAAGAAATAGATGCAGTGCTGCCGGAGAGTTTCCCCATAGTAAAATGCCATAAAGTAGAATAGACTGGATTTCAGCAAAGTAGAAATTTCTCAAACTTCCGATATCAACCACATTCCGCATACATCGAATTTGATATATTTTTGTATTTAATTTATTTATAGTTGCTGTAATATGCTCATTTCAGCTGAGATCGTCCTCTAGGGTTATTCCCAAGAATTTTGTTGTTGNCTGGGCCATAGTGTTGATTATATCATCTGCTTCACGGGAGGAATTGTTAAAATTCACATTGAAGTCGCCAGTAATCCATAAGTATGCATCAATAGCGAAAACAGAATTCAGAACAACCTCTAGCCTGTCAATAAACACCTGAAAATTGCCTGTTGGGGCTCTATATAGGGAGATAATAATATGAGTTTTTTGAGTTATACTGTATTTAACTCCACAAACCTCAAAATCTTGTTCAATACTATATTTACCAATATCTACCGGTTCAGCATCCAGGTCTGATCTGGCCCAGATGGCACAGCCTCCACCTCTCAGGACATTTCTACTGTACTGACTCATAAAATTATAACCGTTAATTGATATACTACACACTTCAGTTTCTTTGGCCCAGAGCAATAAAATATATATTTAAACCGTTCAACTCAAGTTCTATCATATTATTTTTTTGAATAATACTTCTAACATTAAGAAAATATATAAAAATATCTTCCAGATGCGATATTTTATCTTTCAGTAGAGGAATCACTATTTCTTTTTCGGCAATTATAGTATCTTTATCATTGATTGTTCGAGAAAGCAGTTGAATTATTTCTTTAAGGTACGATTCTTCTGTTGCACATTGAGCACTGTCCATCTGGTTTTTTTTCTTTGATTATCACCAATGGATCACAGAATGTTTTCCTCTGGGCACAACTGTTGTGGTATGCTTCATCACAGGTTGCATAGTTTACACCTTTCATAACATTTTTTTTGCAATACTTGCAGATTTTCTTCTGAGCTTCTAAATTGTCAGTTTCACTGTCGGCTATCTTACCAATTGTTGAGCAACCATAAAAATTGATAATAAAATGCTTTCCTAGACACTCTGAAAGGTTCAAGTTCACAAAGAAAGAAAAGATACAAATTTTAAAGTGCTATTTTGGTGATTACTCTATTTGAGATACAATAAATCTATTTATTGTTATGTTTGAAAAGAAGCCAATTCATACACAAACCACCATTCATCGAAGTATTAAAAAAGTTTGAGAAATATGGATTGAGTTCAGAACTGCTGGAAGTGAGTGATAGAATTGTTCGGAATATTTTGAAAAGAAATTATAATTGTTGATATGAAGTACCAAAAAACTCCGGAAATTTCTCCCAACAAGAATGTTAGGAGAGTTCGTAGCAAATAATTTCTGGCATAAATGGAACTTCTACGTCACAAAGTCTCTTCCTTAATCTGACATACACACATCCTCTCTAACATTTTCATACTGATGAATCGGTTGCCGTGAGCGCGGTCTAGCGGACACACGCACATTGTGAGTGAGGATCACCGTAGAGTGGTTCAATCGAGTAGTTGATAATCTGATGTTTCCGGATTTGTTAGGCGTGGTCTACAGGTTTTTATAGCTGACATTTAATCTTGTCTGCTACTTTGACAGACATTATCATAGGCTTGCGGAACGGTCGAAGTGATCTATCTGCTGCATTTCGCAGCAGATAGTGATCTACATTGCGTTCGTCTGCCGCAGTATCAGACGAAACGTCAGGTGTAAAAACCTGCAGACCACGGCTAATAAACCCGAAAATATCGGACTATTTGTTAGACACCGGCAGTGAAAGCCTACAGACAATGATAATAATAATAATCTTTTATTTTCCGGTTATAATCGAATATCAGTTGATATTCTGTTATGAACAAATCTCTAATTTTATACTGTTTTACTGCTATCGTGTACCTTAACCCATTATCTGCCATTATAAATGACTTCCAATTCAGGAAGTTAGTCAAACAATTTCTATTTGATAGAATATTATATAATATTATATTCCTATTATACTTTGGATGAATATTTTAACGATAGCTTATGACTTATGCATATTTTTTATCCTTACTTATTAAGGAGCTCTTAGTTGTTACTTTTTGACTACTGATTTATAAACTTGACTTTTACTCTTTTATATCCTCCATCTTAACATAGTTTGTACCCATGCACTATTTATATTTTTATTTTAATTTCAGTTGGTATGTATTGCTTTTTTTAAGTATGTACTACACACGCTTTGTCTACAAGATTATGTCTTATGATAATAAAGCATATTATTATTATTACAAGGTCTTCACTGAACCAGAGTTTGGAATTTTCTTTCATTTTCAATGATTTCTATGATGAACTTTTTTGAGAAATGTCTAATAATGTATGTAAATGTAAATATACATTTAGGTATATCAGTTGTAATATGTAATTCGTTTGTGATCACTCAGTTTATGATCTGTTATTTGAATTTCACATTATCTATTCAAATTAATGATAGAATTTCAGCAGTAATGACTTATCCTTATACATTTTTTATTACTGTTTTAAACATCTCAACAACCATAGATCACCAAGTATAAATGAAAACTTAGAACACATAGAGATAATAGTATGAGATTATCATTTCCAACACCTTTCCTCAATCATTACTACTATACTATTGACTTGATTCCAAATTCTTCTATACATAATTTCAGCTTGGGCTTACTCAGTGCTTTCGTTGAAGCGTCTGTTATGTAATCCTGTGTTGACACATACTCAAAATCAACATGCTTTTCCTCGATAGCTTCCCGTAAGAAATGATGGTGAATATCTATATGCTTTGTTTTATCATTTGGTTTAAAGTTAACTGATTGTCATTGAAAATTACAACACTGACTCTTTTTACTCAAATTTCAGCCAATACATTTTTGAGGAAAATTGCTTCTTTCGTTGCCGCGAATAATCCCATATATTGTGCTTCTGTAGTTGATGAAACAACAGTTGTTTGCTTCTTACTTTAAATTGCTGCCCCACCAAGTATAAAATCGAACCCAGGAAAGGATCTTCGATCTATTTCATTTCCTGTCCAATCTGAATTTACGTATCCTATCAGTTCTGCCTCTTGTGATGAACTAGACAATAGTCATTTTGTCAGTTCGGACTTCCGGTGTCTAATGTAATATAAATTGATTTGAAATCCCTGAAAAAAATTAAAAAGATTAAGCGAAAATAACAATTTTATTAAACAAAAAACTGAAATTACAAACCAAGTGCGCGGCTTCTTTGAATTTTCTCCTAAACCAGTGTTCCTCTTTGTGGATGATTTCAGCTTGAGCCCACTTGATGTTATGTTGATGAGTCCAAACATGCTCTGCTATTCCGGATTTGCTGGTTTCTCCTCGCTTTGTGTTTTTTGTGCTCAGCAATGCGAACTTTCAATGGCCTCTTAGTTTCACCGATGTATGATTCTCTGCTCTCGCAGGGTATTCGGTAAATTCAATTCTTGGAATCGCAGTCCGCAGTATATGTTGTCCAACAACGCATTTAGTCAAGCTAGCGTAGATATACGTAACATATGGAAACCTCTACTCAAGCGAAAAACGACCAACTCCCGCCAAACGGTCATTTCCCGCTAAAAGCAATGAAGCGGGGAGAGGGAAGAGGGGATAGGTGAAAGCACTCGAATGACCTATAAATAGTCAGATCTTGGAGGAATAAGTCCAGTTATCACCCGAAGACGATTGTGGATACTAACAATCGAAACGTCGTGACGTAACTTGGTTTGGAATCTTTTAATTGTTATTTTTCATATTTTGTTGAAAATATTTTTTAATTTTCAGCTTTCATTAATATTTAAATTTTTAATTTTTTTTGGTTGTTGCTTGTATGTTATTTCCTTGTAATTTCAGTTTTTTGTTTAATGAAGTTGTTATTTTTTGTTAATCTTTTTATTTATTTTTTTCAGGGGTTTCAAATCAATTTATATTATATTAGATAATGGAAGTCCGAACTGATGAAATACAGTCTCTTCTACTTTTAATGTAGATTACTCTAAACTGAAGTATTTTTCACGCTTTTTATCTGTTCGCAGTAGATGGGAAAATTATTGTTTCAGGGTCAAAATGCAACAGTTATTTGAGATTTAAATTATTTTTAATTTCTGCTAGCTCTTGTCTCATACCAAATTTTGATTTGATTTCAAAAATTTGCACTATAAAACAATAATTTGTCTTCTACTTTTAACGGTACATACAATAATAAAAATTTTAGAGCAAATAAAGCAATCTTTGATAGCAAGACAATGAAAAAATCATGGCCGATTTTTCTATATCTTTTTTCTCGATACCTTCATCTAATTAAAAAAAGTTAGAAGCATTGAAATTGATCTTTCAAACCAGGTATGATTTGACCCATATTTTCAACAGGGTTGAAAAGTGCAAAAAATATAGATTGGGTTTGAACGATTTTCTATTTGTTAAAACGTCAAAGGCGATAAACAAAACCTTGTTTTTTTCCCATTGACTTTCGATGTAACTAAGTATTGAAAAAACATATATTTTTTTCAGGTGGAAATGCTAAATACTTTTCTGGACAGAAGGCTGATTGGACTAGAGATTTAAGAGTGTCACCAATGATTTCTCCAGCTGAATTTAAAAAATTTGTTGTGATATGTCCTGCAAAATTCAAAAGAGGTTGTCAAGATTTTCTGTACCAATTGAAACGTGCTGCTAGTGGCATGTCTTGGTTTATACCTGAAGAAAAAATGATGGATATTGGAGATGACCGTGCAAATTCATACCTTGACGGCATTGAAAATGCGATTGCTAAAGAAAAACCTTCTTTAATAATGTGTGTCGTATCCAATAATTCTGCGGATAGGTATGCAGCTATTAAAAAAAAGTGTTGTGTGGACAGAGGTTTACCTTCTCAAGTCATTCTTGCGAAGAATCTGACATCAAAAGGTACAGGTAATTTTTATTGTTGAAGGGTAACATTTCTTTATTGATTTCTGGTAAGTTTATTATTCATAGATATCAGATAAAAGTGACCAAATTCACTGAACCTGACAGGTAGGTAGAATGGAGGGTACAGCGTGATGACATCAGTTATCCGTATTTTGGGAAATAATAGGACTTATATTAATAATAATATATTTATTTCAAATTGGCATCCTAATATACAAAAACATTTGAAAATTGGATAGACAAACTCACAGTCTAACTTCATAACACTAAAATATATGTGATGCTCGGAATTATCCAAACATTCAATAAATAAAAAAAATAACAATGTAAATTACAAATATTAGATATATCAACGTTAATGTTGATGTTTCAAATGACTAGTAAGTTCTTTTTTGAATGTCATAATAGATTCACTTTGTTTTATCTCAAGCGGGAAGTTATTATAGTCCTTTATAGAAATAGGAGTTCGTGGATCGTGTAAAGTTCAAACGTGGTATATATAAATTAGAATTTCCCCTAGTGGAGTAACTATGAATTTGGTGATGGAAAATAATAATAGTCCAATAAAATGAGGATTTAAATTACCATGCAAAAGGCAAGCCTGCATTTTTCAATATAAGTTCATGTTAGCATACATTTAAAGGATTTATAGTTATAAAATGTTGAATTTCATTTAGGGGATAGAAAATGAATAAAAACTACCCAAAAATCACTTATATCTCGAAAGCATAAAAATATATGATAAAAAGGTTGCAACAAAAAATGTAGGCAATAAATTTTTTTATAAAATCGTTTCTGATCACTTATGACGTATTTGCAATAGAAACAGAGATATTTGCAATAATCAATTAACACTTATAGTTCAGGCGTGCGGCTAGTAGAGCGGCCAATTTTGCCTGGCAACAGGTATTATAAGACATTCACCGAGCAAGCGTAAAGAAATAGATCGATGTTATAGGTTGTGAAATAAATCATTGTAATTGGGTGTTTGGTAGAGTGACGACACTTCCCGATTTTCGCGGGGCAGTCCAGCTTTTTGGTGGGTTTGGGTCATAAGATCTTTTTTTGGAACTTCTGTCCAAGGCACCGAAAATTATGACCCAATGCTCATTCGATTCGGAATGACCCCAATCAACTTTTTGAAAAAATTCGAGAGGCTCAAAAAATTGCAAAAGTAAAAATTTTGTAAAAAAAAGAGGGGTTTCGGTTTTTGCAAATATCTCTGAAACTAATAAAAAAAAATCTGTTTTAAAAATCTGTTTTTCCGTTAACCAGCTGTCGCACCCCTACGAACGACAACCATCAGAAGTCGAAACTTGTGCGAACTAAAGATTAACGAGGTCTTACCTTACGTGTGATTCCCAACACGGGTTGGATTATAGCAAGTGAAAAGTGTAAAAAAACAACCTTTCAAAACTCTATCGCCAACATTTATAATTTCAATTCAGAAGGGAAAATATCTCTAAAAGCGGGCAATGCGCGTCCCGTACGCACTAACCGATATGGACCTTTGAACAATAAAAATTATTTCAACCCATTAAATATCATCATTAAGAAAAACAACTTCACATACCTTCTAGACCCTTGAATGAACGAAAATACATAAAAAAATTTTTAATGTTACCAAAAAAACAAAAACAACAATTTGTTACTTCTTGTGACACACGGTTTTTATGTAAAAAATACGGATTTTTTTTTTTTTACAAAAAAAGAACGAAAAATGTCACATCGTTGAGTCACACAGTTGGTATGACAGCTGCAGAACATCTGAAAATATAGTTTCAACAATTAAATTTCAATAAAAAATGAGAGTTTGAATAATAAAATTATAATACTTTGCAAATTACCTGTCTTAACAAATCTTCAGGCGCAGGTTTATCGGTTGTCATGATTGGGATCATCAACATATTAAGTAATTGGATAGAACTGGCCGATACTTGATGAAAATCCATATTAAAAAACTAATCAATACAGTTTATTGTATGATTTTCACTATAAGGGTTTTACAAAAACCGCGACACATGTTTTGCTATATAATAGCTTCTTCAAGCATAACTGAGAGTTACTTCTAAATTACACCGTTATATACTATAACCTAGTACCTATTCGTCTACCTAAATAATAAATCTACCTGAAAAAAAACATTAAGTCGTTTCCATCCCCATTGCTCAGGCTGAAGGTTATTTCCACTCCATTGTTGAATTTGATAAAAAAACTCTTTTAGCATGTTGAAGCAAGCTGAAGATGTAGGAGGTAAACTTGTCAGTCGAATTTCAATCTTAGTTTGTGTAGGGTAACCAAAAAGTTTATAACACAGTTCTTCAATTGTTAAATTTTCATCGAAATGTCCATATAAATAAAATATAAATGAAGTTGCTGCATTTTGTAGATGCTGGAAGTTCCTCAGCCAATTTTTCAACTCGTATAAACTTTGTCTTCTCCGCAGACAAACACTTAATCTATTTCGTAGTGCTGGAGAGATATAACCGCTCTACTGCAGCCCGTCTGAACTATAAGTATAAATTGATTATTGCAAATATCTCAGTTTCTGTTGCAAATACGTCAAAAGTGATCGGAAACGATTTTATAGAAAATTTTATTGCCTACATTTTTTGTTTCGACATTTTTTTCATATATTTTTATGCTTTCGAGATATATTCAAATTAGTGGTTTTTGGGGGTAGTTTTTATTAATTTTCTATTTCCTAAATGAAATTCAACATTTTTCAACTGTAAATCCTTTAAATGTATGCTAAAATGAACTTATATTGAAAAATGCAGGCTTGCCTTTTGCATGGTAATTTAAATCCTTATTTTATTGGTCGAAATATGAGGGTGCATTACCGGGCAATATTTTGAAAATTGATAAATAAAGGTATTTTTTTTTAATTTGCCTTATCGAATGAAAATAATGACGTTTTTTCAACGCTTTCGCTTATACCGGAAGATGGTACCATCTTCCCTTATTAAAATGTAACACCCTGTATATTTTCACATTTTTGAATGACTGACATTCTAATATGAGTTCATGTAATACACCCTATACCATAAATGAACTGTTCTTGAGATATTCATTTGTTTACTCAAAAATAAACTAATAATTCCGCAATCGAGTGATTCTCCCATAAAATTTAAATGTGGATAAAATACATAAATGAGCTATTATTGGTCAAAAAAAAATATTTCATTCCATCCTCTTGTAGGAGTAACATTTCCAAAATATTATACAAGGTGTTCTGAATCAATGACTAATTCTGAAAATACAAAAAATGGGCAAAAACTCACTTTTTCAAATTCCGAGATGATGTTTACTCATCTTCATGAAACATCTCCTGTATCAAAAATGAGGTACTTCAGCTTTTTTCGAAAAAATTGAACATGGACATGTCCGCCATAAAACTAGGGGCTACGAAATTTTAATTTCGAATAGTTACAGAGAGTTTATTAGTTATTAATTTGCCGTCATGGTGTTTATTGATGGCGGAAAGTAAAGTTGATGCATCAAGAGTTCTGTGATTATTGAAAAAAACAGCTATTTTAAAGAAAGTTACATGTGAAAACTGTGGGACAATCTTCCACTATAGTTGTGCTAATAAGAAAACAAAAAAGTGTTGTAATAAGCAGAAGTTCGATGAAGCAGTTGAAGAACATGAAAATCCTAACCTAGAAACACTTGATATGGAAATTTCCTTACTGATAGAAAAATTAATAGTATGGGAAAATAAGATTATGAAGGAAAATAATGCGAAATAATAAACTATTAAAAGGTGAAATTGAAAATCTGGAAATTGAAAATGACAAAATGAGAACTCATAGTGGCTTGTTAACAAAACAAGATCGAAATTCCACAACCAGAATCTATTCTACAGAATTTGAACCAGTTCCTAGATGAAAAACTAGAGAACAAATTGAAATCAATCAATGAGTTGATAGAGGTTCTGAATAATAAAATAGATAAGCTTCATAAGAATGAGAATAGGAATAAAAATGATGAAGAGATAAGAGAAAAAAATCACCAAAGAAACATTAGCGACGAAAAATTCAAATGCACAAAAAATAGGGCATGGATGTATCTACAAGATGTCACAAGAAGTTACCGAGGAAGACATCACTACATTCCTTAGAATAATATCGGATGATTATGTGGAGGATTTCATCGTTAGAGACCTGAAAGAAAATGGAAAATTTAAATCATATGCTACTGCAGCAGATTTCTGGTTTAAGGATACTTTTTACACTCCTTCATTCTGGCCTAGGGATGTTAACTATAGAAGATTTAATTTCAATCCCCATTATGAAAAATTTAACACCACAAAAATATTGATGAGGAAACCAGGTCCATTTCTTTTTTTAGAGAAACCATAAATGACACCATCAAGCATGACGTCAGCGGGATCAACAGGCGTGACAGGAAACTGAATATAATACATTTCAATGTTCAAGAAATTTCTGGTAAGGCTACTGATCTTGAAATAATTCTTGAGCAATATGATATTGATATTTTTTGTATTACGGAGCATTGGCTGAGACATGAAGAAATAAAAAATCTCAGTGTAGATCTGACTGAAACTGGATCAAAATTTGTAATTTCTGTATATCGTACGCCTGACAGTTACATCAAAAATTTTCTGAAAGAACTGTATGATCTAATATGTGATATATACACTGGTAAATATTACCTGGTAGTCTGTGGTGATATCATTATCAATTTCCTAACTGACTTTGTGTATACCAGAGAATCAATCAATATTTTCAATGAATTCGGAGTGGTAAATCATATTGATCATGCAACAAGAATTACCAGCAAAAGCTACACTTCTATTGATATCATGTTCACAAATTTAGACGTTGAGCAACAAATAATCAAAGAAAGTCATATATCTGATCATACTTTTCAAATATACCAGTTTTATGTGAAATGTGAAAAATTTAAAAATGTAGTAATTTCAAAAGTGAAATCTCAAAAAATGATCTCTTGACTTTTGAAACTTTACTACAGAAAGA